TTAAATTAATGTAGTTTTTGTAGCAATTTGTTAATAAGCTACTTTACTTTTTATATAATAGAACTGCTGGTAACAATAGTTAAATTTAATGAATTTGAGCAATTTGTAATAAGCTACTTTACTTTTTATATAATAGAACTGCTGGTAACAATAGTTAAATTTAATGATTTTGAGCAATTTGTAATAAGCTACTTTATTTTTTATATAATAGAATTGCTGGTAACAATAGTTAAATTTAATGATTTTGAGCAATTTGTAATAAGCTACTTTATTTTTTATATAATAGAATTGCTGGTAACAATAGTTAAATTTAATGATTTTGAGCAATTTGTAATACCTTATTATTTTATCGACAATATGAATGTGTCAAATTATATTGTTGATATTATAAAGTTAATAATTATTAGAGTAATACATCTTTTCAGAATATGTGTCAGTATATATTTATATTATACCTGTTTTGAACTTAAATCTGTACTCTCATCTTGGATGTTCTATTGGTGCCACATGGGTTTTAGTGGTGCTTCTCACGGACTCTCTTAATGAAGATTAATCAGTAATTAAAGATATCACGTTTATACAACTAAAACATGCATTAACAATACTCAAGTCTTCATTTGTTCGCATTACTGGATTTAAAGGGTTAGGTTTCAGTTCTTTATATCTAGGAGTATATTTTTTTTCCAATTTATTTTTTCAGTTCTGCTTATTTTTCCTGTTTCATTATTTGTAATTACTAGCCAATACTGGTTACAAAGAATGAACAGTCCTTAATTTTTGGCCACCAGCTAGGCTTTCGGTTAGAAATTAAATTTGATAGACAGTGTATCCCCACTATTGTGTGAGTTTTCCTCCAAACGGATACTTTTCACAATAGGATATGTTTAATATTCTTAACCTGCAGCTTGTACCGAGTACTCTTTTTTTTTGTCCTCAGTTTCTACATCTAAATGTGTAATATTGGAATTAATTATGAAGACGCGCAGGTGATACAAACACAGGAGACACAAACAATGAGTCATTGTAACTAATAGTCAACTTACCATTAGTACAGTACGTTACTACATCAAACAAGTTGCACAATGTACTAACGTTTTATATTTGGTTTAAACAGAGCTGTACACCTTGTTTCCACGCTACCATAAGTTGTCAATATTGTTCTACGTGTCCTGTGTGTTTATCAGTTTCCATGCCAACCCATAGGTTGTGCATCGGCTGCGATACGGTTATCTTCTCTATCATCGAACGAATTATCGTTCATTGCTGCTAAAAATTTGAATTTGGATTCATCTGTAAAGACCGCCTTTCTATAGAAAACTCTAAAGTCCATCTCAGCTTTTTGTTTTTGTTATCGTTAGTAAGCAGCGAATTTTAAGCACCTACACATCCACTTCGTGCTTATATGTATCCATTTCTTTTGGAGGCGACATTCACGACTGTACTTATAGCTAAATCATTGGAAAGATCTCTACCAGATTGTCGCGTATCACATAAAGAGCATACCATGAATTACTTAACATTGCTTTTGAATAGTTAAGCCTTTCTAACTCAACCGCTTCTATTATCAACAGTATCAGTTTCATGTGATTTTGTTCAAAATTTACACAGAGGTCCTACTGAAACATAAAATTTCACCCAAATCTGTCGTATCTAATAGCCTTCGGGAGCCAAAACGTTGATTTCTACATGTTTGTCATGTGTCCTTTCTGTTCTGTGAGCCATGTGTGCACACATCACAATCTGCTGGGAATACCATACGATACTATAAAACATGGCAGTAAATTGGAAGAGGGATATTCTGGGATGGTCGGAAATTTGGCAGTTCCCCTTCATGCTACTCGCGGTATTATAATGAAGAGAAAAAAAGAAGCTCAAAATTAATTACCAAGCCAGACTGAGCCAAGGAGACAAGTCCGAAAATCAGGGAAACAGCGACAAACGAAACAAAACAAACAGAACTGGATGACTGGATCAGTAAATTCTAGTGTTGTATAATTTGATGTGTGTGTGTGTGGAAGGGGGAGGAGACTGAAGAAAGCCGAGAAAACCCCACTTTCACTGGTCGGGCGCTGAAAAATCTATCCAACCAGTGTCGGTGTTGAAACCTATTCTGGGAATAAAAATCCGTTGGTAAAGAACAGACAGGAATTTGTTCAGATAACTTCAACTGTTAAAAGTCGAAAGAAACATATGCTGGGAATGATATGACTGCCAATACTTTTAAAGGCATTATGCTGGAGTGGTACTCTCTGATTAATTGGATGACAGTCTGACACCTGACAGTGAATCACTGTGTAAGCTGTCCATACGTGATTGTAATCTGGTGGAGTTCACTTTCATACAATATTAGGAGTGTGATCCCCAGATAATTACATTTTATATACGTTTCAGTCACTGTTTCCATAAATATTTCACATACTGTACATAATGTTGTTATTTGTTGTTAAGTACAAAGCTACAATGTATTCTCTGTGTACTGCTTACCGCGGGTATCAAAACTCTATTTTTAGCGTCATTAGTCCCCAGACTTAGCAGGGGAACTGTATATATTGCAGATGTCGTTTCAGTCACTTTCATCATTTATTAAGTTAAAATCATATTTATAATGATGGTAGTAAAGTTTTAGTTGTTGCCCCTAAAGTGGTATACCGTTCACAAGTAAATATGAGACTATAACAAGGAATATTTAAATCGGGGAGATACTGAGATTGCGGGACTGATAACTTCTAAGCTTATTTCCCACTAGTAAATATAAAGCTTCGAGAAGGTTGAATGGAAATAGCGATACTGGTTTTGAGGTTAATGGCCTTTAATTCTAAGTAATCTTTACAGGTAAATTTGTTTGTTAGTTGTGAAGCAAAAAACTACACAACTGACTAACTTTGAAAACGATAAACTACTCTTTATATTAATAGGTCATAATATTTCGATATTACAGTAATAGTCCACGATAATATGTATATAAATATGCGGGTCACATATGAAGGCGTTTTTTTAGTTGTTTCGTTGTGATCGTGAAAAATAAGTGCACATATATTTTAAGTGCATATCATATATTATACTACCGCCACCTACAGCAAATAAAGTTAATTACAACACGCACGTGCCTCGTGTTCGTTGCTCTGAAGATTGGTGACAGCTCTAAGTGCACGGTTCCGATTGATATTATATAGCATTGTATAGGTCTGAAGTGAAGCTTGGACATAGTTAGAAAACATTGGATTTCTGTTCAATAAATTCAGTACTCGCTAACCTTTTCAAGTTCCGTTCAAGTAGTTTTATATATCTATACTGTTACTAAACCACACATTTGAGATAATATCAATTTTTCGCTATCACAACTTATTGAAGTATTGATAAACATATATTTTTATCCTACAATATTTCTTACTATTTTGTGCATTTTTTCAGGAACACGAATAAGAGCGGGACAACTTTTTACGGAACGTAAAAACGTCCCCATGGTTACGGGTATAGTCGATTTGAAGGGGGTGATCTGAATTTCATTACCTGCCAAATGTAAGATGCTTAGTACAAACACCACTACTTTAGAAGTGAATGATTTGACTATCTTGTGTGAAACTAACCAACGTTTGTCTTGTTCTATAAATGACTAGGACGTCCTAGAGAATGACTATTTCTCAGTATTTAAATGTTGTGAAGAATGCGAAGTATTTCTTCATTGCATACGTTATTATATGGTGTCATTTGACTTACATAGTAATGACTATCCCATTGAGGTAAGGAATAAATTCAGGCTTGCAGGCGAGTTGGAGTTACCTTTATTAAAAAAAAAATATTCCGATAGATAAAGCCTCTGGCGTATATTGCGAAGCTGTCATTGATTAATGACGTCAGACAAAGTTGAATTGTGATTGGTCAAAATAGCAGAGGACGGGTTTGTGTTAGAGTACGGTATACGCTGCGGCGGTTGCTTGAACTCAGAAAGCAGTTTTGTTTAGCGAAAAGAAGTTGCTATCTTATGTGATCCTTTAATCACGACAACTGATACCATGGTTTATTTGAACTCTGGAAGTTATTGCGCATGCTCATAGTATAAAACGAACTAAAGACAATGTTGCAATGGTGAGCTTTACAGAAGTAACAAAAAATGTTAGAATAAAGCAGTCATACTGATATATTAAAGTGATTTTGATTCAAAATCATCATGACCTCTAAACAAGTCTCAGCAATGATGAAAATCATCCTAAAAAACATGCTGGACAAGAAGATCATAGCTGTTATTGTAATATTTCTGCAGATGGGAACCCCAGGTCATTTTCTCCGACATCCAGACTTTCACACCGCCGATCACCGTCATCATAAAGGTAAGGCTTGTGTCTTTGTGGTCAAATGTTGTCAAGCAGGCATTTCTTCTAGGGTTTTTGTTTGTTTCTTTACTTTATATTAAAGTTCGTTTCATGATGTTCGTACTGATCGAAAGATAAGAGTGATATTAACGAATATTAATCGGGGATAATTATTTAAGCTTCACATAACAATGAGTTTATAACGTTATCAAATTGTTAACAGTTCGTTACACAAAATAATCACAATAATAATGTAAAACGAGAACAAATCGTGTTACTTATGAATCTATTTTCAAATACCCAAACTATTTCTCTGGACTTTATATTTCTATATATTTATATTTCCAAAATTTTAAAACCTTAAAACGTTTTCCTCCGTTTATATATAAAGAACGTTTGTTGCGGATTGGCTCTATACAAGTTCACCTTGTTTATGTTTGCTACAAGTACATATATTAATATAAAAAATGATGTCGTCAGGCCATACTTTGCTGTGACCAACCTGCAACGCTTGGATAAGTTTTGATTTCTACTATCCAACAAGGTTTAGATCTTATCAAATGTTTATTTTACATTCAAAGAAATGCATGTTTAATATCTCATACTGAATATATTTAACATATCTTTAATATCTCATACTAAATATATTTAACATATGTTTAATATCTCATACTAAATATATTTAACATATGTTTAATATCTCATACTAACTACTGTTGCGTCAGCGAGGTCACGTGACTAGTATCACGCCACTTCTCTCGAACCTTCGTGAATTATCGGGAGACTACAAGATATGTGGTAGGCTGGTATATATAAGATGGTCACAACGTGACGGGACAACAGTGTAATGAGTATTTGAATGTATGCGGACAAAATATTGTTGGCCACGTGAGACATAGCGTTGTTATAGAGCGACTGTTGAAATTAAGTGTATCGTAAAGTTATATTCAGAAAGAATAAACCAGTTTTATTTAAGAAAGGACTTGTGTCGCTAAAGTTTCGTCGGAACGAATTTACGGAAATTAATTAACAAACGGAGACGTAACAATATATTTAACATATGTTTAATATCTCATACTGAATATATTTAACATATGTTTAATATCTCATACTGAATATATTTAACATATGTTTAATATCTCATACTGAAATATATTTAACATACGTTTAATATATCATACTAAATATATTTAACATACGTTTAATATCTCATACTGAATATATTTAACATACGTTTAATACCTCATACTGAATATATTTAACATATGTTTAATATCTCATACTGAATATATTTAACATACGTTTAATATCTCATACTGAATATATTTAACATATGTTTAATATCTCATATTGAATATATTTAACATACGTTTAATATCTCATACTGAATATATTTAACATATGTTTAATATCTCATACTGAATATATTTAACATTTGTTTAATACCTCATACTGAATATATTTAACATACGTTTAATACCTCATACTGAATATATTTAACATATGTTTAATATCTCATACTGAATATATTTAACATTTGTTTAATATCTCATGCTGAATATATTTAACATTTG